AAAAAATAGATTTTTCATATGTTTTACTATGTGATCGACAAAAATTACGTAGACTTTTGTCCAGTGAGTGTACAATAGATTATAAATATTACGAGGCATTTTGATGTTGTTTTTATCCAATAATATGTACGTTGATATGATACAAAATTATTGCAATTTTTACAATGTATTATCTGCTGCATCTCAGGTATGGTAATCTGTGTTAACAGTGCTCGAGAAATATATATTTTATGATGCTTATAGTTGGGCGTATATTATACAACCATAAACAATGTTTGTGCTATCTGTAGAACAATGCTTATCATAAAACGTCGGTATTTGAATAAAACTTAATTTGTATTTTTGCTACCAACCAAACAAATAGGTACTGACTCTACTGATTATTAATGATGGCCATGTGCGCTTTTGTTATTGATACATAAGGTATCAATGGGTTTGGAAAGTAGTAAATGTATCTTAAATAGTCTAAAACTTGTAGTAATAAATAAACATCATTATTATGACAACGCCCAATACTCATGCGATAACTTATCAGAACTAAATCAGAATAAGCTTTGTCCGTATTAAATTGGAAATACATATGCACTTGACATATGAAGTAGTAGATACTGAAATTATACTGCACCAATAAAAATTGTCTATATAGACTTGGAGAGAGAAGTAGGTAATGTAGCCCATATATAATATAGGCTCTCGAAACTGAGTTATCGTGAGTAAATAACTTTTTGTTAAGCTTTTCATACGTACGATATACTTATATCATGTTTGTTAAATTCCAGTAATAGCAAGCTACAGGAAGAATTTTTTGCAGTAACAAACTCTTGCGCTTTCGTTTTTAAACCGTTTTCTCTATAGAGGCAACTCGCGCAAATTCGCATATCGCCCTCGAATAATTTGAACTCGTTTCGTAATTTTACTATATTGATTCCAATAATAATAAATGTTCCCCTCCCTCTGACACTCATGGACAATTACACAACGCCTTTTCCTTATATGGATAACTGTGACATACTTGTGTGCGACATAATTACGGAGTTCCCAACCGAGCGAAGATAGAGTCACACTATTCGTTCAATTGAGCAAAGACTTAGCTTTTTGCGTGTGGGACTGTGAGAACACCTTGCATTTTTTCTCTCTCAAATTATTATGGTAGCAATCATATGATCACCCACATTCTTACCAGTGGCTTATCAATGTGATATGTAAAAAGAGGGGTTTTCAAATGTACACAGGTACGGTATCTTTGTTTAATGCGTGAACTTTATTGTTACACATTGTCTAATAATAACCGGCAGAATATTGATATAGAATACGTACATTATCGTGAAAATCGATCATGGGAACAGTTGGATGTGACGAAAAAGTTGATTTACATGAAGATCCCAAAAGCCTTTGCCCCAATTTCCCATCAGCACATCGATACATTAATATCTTAACATAGTTATAAGCGTTAAATTCTGTTAATTTGACATTATTTACTATAAATGGGAATATTCTTATTATATCCATAACCGTGACACATAAATTTTAATAATAATATCAAGTTTCAATAGTCTCCGGTCAACAAATACTAGCTACAACGTCTCGTCGGTAATATTTGGCTAAGCCCGATATTTGTATGCAGATTTTCGGCATGCTGCAGGTATGTGGGAACAGGCCAACCACATTCACAAACATCAAAAGTTCCACAAGATGCCGATAAACTAGTCCCCCAAATAGAATCATTAGAGTAACATCCCGTATAGCACAAGTACTTTTATGTTTTGCAGGACAATTTTCACAGCCGTAAATGTTAAGCGTGGCCATTAGTAAGATCTCGTAAGTGAAAAAAAAATCAGCATAATAATAATATATATCGTTAACTAAACTTCACGCTCAACGCATACCTACTCCGTAGTAAGCCGTCAAACTGGAGTTGGCAAAGTTGGAGAACGATTCGCTTGTTTTGAGCTTACGATCTGCACCGCCTTTAATTTTTTATTCTGCGTTGGTCAAATATTCGTGTTAAAATGCCTGATTTGTTAATTTACCTATAACTCGTATAATAGTAATAGGTATTTTTTAAACTGCCGCCTCATCCAAAGTATACATATAATGGTTTTTGAAAGCATGGCTTGTGTTCTATTTCAATGTCTGAAATAACATTCTTTAGTTGGGGAATCCCAATTGATTAATTTTTTTGGAAATGGCTTTCCACCCCTCTGGCGTATTAGATATAGATAGTCCTCATATTTATTCTTTTCAGAAATCTGAACCAGTCGCGAATTTTTTTTTCGATTTCAGGACTCGATGCCGCGTCAGGCTCGCTGCAGCAAGCAATACGTGGGGAAGGCCTTAGTAGTGACGACGATAAAGCCTTGTCCATGATTTGGTAATATATTATATAATGATTTCCTTTCAAACATGTGGAACTTGTAATGATCGTGAACAATCCTCTTTAATCTCAGATGAGGCCACTGGACGGAGCGAGGGCTTCGAACAGTCATTGATCTCTGGAAGGTACGAAGACTGCGATCAAATCAGAATGAACTTTTTATGTTCAACTCGTTGTTCGTACTGAAACAAATAAACGTTTCTAAGTATGTATATCAGAAACATTATTGGTGTGTGAGGTTGGCTTAATGACGCACATTATGTAGAGAATTACCCCCTAATTACCAATACGCTAAAGCCTACGCTTGACTGTATTACTGTCTCGTCAGCCAGATGTTCATGCCATGTTCTTCTAATTATTGCATCGTAGATTTCCTGCCGATTGATCGGATCAAATATACGTATCTACGTTAGTCGACAGAAATAAACCGGCCCTGTTGCTTGGTCTCGATACAATTGTCACCATGGAATCACTCCTCATGTCCACCATAATCCTAACACATCTCTGCTTTACTCACCTTGAATGAGATTCACACGAGTCGCGAAAAATTTGCCGATTCGTTTGGCAAGCCCTGTAATGAGATTTTGTGCACTCTTAAAATTGAGAACTGCATGATACACCTAGACAGAATTCAAAAGTTCTTAAATGAGCTAACGAATCGATAGAATAAACGTTCTGTATTTCCCTGCATGAAGCTAGCTTATAGTAGAACATCAACACTTACGCCCAAATATTGCATCTCCTCTTCTAAATTGTCGAGACACTCAGGTTGAATTCAATGAAAACATGGTTATATTTCTCTTCTGCATTCCGTATGATCGCCTCGTAATCAGCATTACCGGTCGTCCGACCTTCCGATCACTTTCATGTATTCAGCCAGAAAAGCTCTCGCACCATGGAACAAAAGCCATGCATATGTGTTGCTGCTTGGCACCATTGCATCTTTGCTAAAGCCAGAAGCAAAATAACAAATTAAATCATCATAACACCACTCCAAGTTAAAAGATAGATATCTCTCGACAATATGTACTTGATGCCCAGAATGTGATCCAAATTCAACTTGGATGCGGTGAAAATTCATGCTCCTAATCTGACCTTTCTGGATTAAAGCGAAATCGATACATACCCAAGTGTACAAACCTCTAACACCAAGAAACTCGTCTCCTTGTGAAGCGCCAGCTTTGAACAAATCAGCGATTGTCTTTACACCTTTTTCTGGGTTAGATAGCAAGGCCATTCCGTG